TACAGGCTCACAAGTTTTTGCTGTCAGGTTAAAGGATAACAGTGAGATGCTGACAGCACAATACGCTAAAGTTATGCTGAGAAGCTAAAGCGGTCTCATCAGCCTCGGAGAGCAAAAGATAAAACTCAGCTTTCTAGCTCACTGCAGTTTCCCTGTGCCTATTTAGGGAGCCCAAACCCAGCACTGTTTAATGTTCCAAGCTGAAAATAGAAGCAGATAAAAAAATAAAAAAAAAAAATAAAAAAAATTAGGAGATGTATAAAGTGGAGGGGAACGACAGGTTGAGACTGTATGTGTTTTCAAGGGCAAAAGCCCTGTGTGCCATTTGTGTCACAGCAAAAGAGGCTCTTGGTCAGGGCTTACTCTTGCTACCAGGAAAAGGAAGCTGCCTCACCTCTCGGCCGGGCACTGCCCTGTCTGTAAGAGGGGCAGAACACGAGACTGCAGGGCAGGGGCTTGTCTGGCAGAGGATACCACCACCTCTGTAAACCTCATATTTCTGGCAACCCTCTCTAGCTGTGGCACTTGGAGTCGCTTGCTGTTCATATAGCAAGGCAAAATTGTTTTCTGTTCCTGCAATCTGGCACTGCAATCTCATTTTTTTAATTAGTGAAGATGTCACTAACTGAACTTCGAGGATCCAGGATCTGATTTGTATCCAAACAGAAGACTCCCATATACAGTCATCCCCCTCTGACATGTCATTCCTGTCTCCACCCTGAGCCTGTTTCTTCTTCACTTACCTTTGTCACAGTCAGCACTTTCACAATCTCTAGTCCTGAACTCCTTCCTCCATGAGATTTTTTTTATTATTATTATCATTTGCTACATACTTTTGATCTTAGAAAATGGTGACTATTATCGATGCTGAAGCCAGCACTGGGAAGATGCCTGCCTGCCTGCGGGCAACAGGAGGAGGCAGAGAAGGGTTGTGGGATGCCAAGTGGAGGTCACAGTCTCCCTGAGCTTCTCATGACTATATTATCTACTAATATGTATAAACAGGCCTCTGCTGCAAATTCTTGCTGAATGAGCACGAGCTTCCTTGCCTGTCTTTTCCTTCTTCCCTGCTTTACTTCTCACCATGCTTTTCCTCTGCTCGTGCCTCAGCCAGCGCTTCCTTCTCAGTCTCCCCTTTCCCATGTGCCATGATGCCTGCTCCTCTCCTCCTGACTGATTTCCCTTCCCTCTGTCTGTTACACAGTTTGGCAGCAGCATCTCCCCTGGAAAATCATTAGTGAATGCAACATACCCACATACAGGAACTGTGGTGGGGACTCTCGGCATCGCCAGGACTGGTCCCTGCCGAGAAGCTGGCGGGGCTGTAGCACTGGCCATGGTGCAGTTTGACGGTGCTGTGCAGTGCATGCCCTGTGGCACAGCCCGAGCTGGGGTACAGGCACGCACTGTCACCTGTGTGGGGGCTGCCTTACCAGGTCCCGGTTTTGCATGGCCACCTTTGGCCAAAGCAGCAAAGAGCTAATACATGAAAAACCGTATGTAGCCCTTATTAAATGCATGTAAGACCTCTGAAAAACTCTTCACCTGAAAAGACAAACTCATTTGCTAACCTAGTAGCCATGCCCTGCACCTTCCACCAGTTTTAGCAGAGCTGGCCCCACTCATCCTCCTAAACCCATTTGCAGAGGGACTTGTGCGGAAGGAACAAGACATCTCCCAGGTGAGTCAATTTAGGTGTGCATAGTAGCCTACTTACTATATCCCCAGAAGCAATGATGCAGCTTCAAGGAAGTCTTGTTATGAAAGGTGTGGGAAGAGATAAAGATGAACCTGGTGAGTCACAGGAGCATGCCGGGGGCAGAGCCTGCCTTCAGGACTTGGGAACACTCCCACCTCTAGACCTGATAATAGGGAAGAAAGAAGGAAGTGATTAATAATTAAAATAATTATGGAATAAATTAAGATAATTAGCCTCCTTATTTATCTTCTTAAGTGTTGTCCAAAAAAGGAATCTTGGTATACCTGGCCCACCAGTTTTGTGTCATCCTACAAAGTGGAAACAGTCCCCATCATTAGGTCATCTTTGGTGAGAGTTATAATTTGTGACACTGTCTGCTTGGGCAGAGGTGTGTGCAGCTCCTTAGCTGGAAGGAAACATCGGACTGGGAAATGGGCATGGCAAAAATAGCTCTTCCTACACCCCAGATATTTTGCACTTGTTCCTGGTAGCTGGGTCTGTCTTGGTGGGACAGAGGCAGCAGCTTGTAACCCTCCAAGTGCCTGCGTGGGGCAGAGAGGCTGCGAAGCATCAAGTGGGAATGGCGAGCCTGCTGGGCTCAGCGAGGGAGGGGAGGCACAGTGGACACCTGAGGGTTTGGGGATCCACAAGGAGAAAGCTGTGGCAGAAGTGGAAGATGGGTGAAGATAACATAACTGTGCCTCCTGCACTCTCCCCCCAGCAACACCCTGCCTCCCTCATCCCACAAACCCACGTCTGGGGTTTCTCTGTTTTTTCCAGCCGTACACACCACAATTATATATAGTCTAAACAAAGGTTTTTTACCTGTTTCGTTCCTGTGGTTTAGCCAAGCGGGTAGCCGTGGTGCTTGACATTGCATCTCTGGTTCTTAGGATTTCCAGGTGCTCTCCCACACAGATATGGGGAAGGCCCAGGCGTGGGCTTGCATGGCCAGATGTGCTTAGGCCAGCATAACTTCATCGTACAGAAATAAAAGGGATTTTTTGGGGGCCAGAGTTTTATTATCTAAGTTAGTGTCATATCAATGGTGCTGGTCAGCAGCTACTTGGGTAGCAAGTAGCTACCCAAGGAGGCCCCTTCCCTCCCACCTCCTGCCAGCTGAGTCTGTGCCAGTCGCCCAGGGGTCTGTAAGGCTGCCAACATTGGCGGACCTGCCCTGCATGGGGATGGGGTGGTTAGCAAAACCATCAAAGCACAGGCAAAGTACACTGAGCAGGGTCCCAGAGAACTGAAGGGATCTCTGCCACATATCAAGTAGCAGGAAGAAGAGAAAAAAATGTTAAAGGAATAAACAAAAAAAAAAAAATGTGGAGAGCAGAAGAAAGAAAAGCTAAGGGAAAAATAGATATTACATCCCATGTCTGCATGAAGCAATCTAGAGCTCTCACTACCATGAAATAACACAGTGTGAGTCTATGCAGTGGCTGCAGATGGCTAAATAACTTTAACAAGCAGCTTCTGAACTTGGCACACACACTTCACATTGTACTGGCAAAAGCAGTAAATGTCCGGTGCTGCGTGAGCCCAGCCTTCAGTTTTCTCACTTGGTTTTTGTTAAATCAAAACTCTGACTGCAGTCAAGAAAAGCTTCCTCTGGGTAAGAAGTGAATAAAAACTGCCAAGTGCTCCATCACTAACAAGAAATTTGTGTTAGTAAAACAGCCATGAGTGCTGCAATGACATTTTCTCCATTTTTTTCCCCACATCTTTTTCCTTTAAAAACTGAGTGGCTGGGGGGTGAGGTTCCCTATAACAGACAAAGGCCTAGTGGGAAGGTCTGCCATCCGCATTATTAAAGTCACATGTAAGCACCATGGGAAGCTGACAAGATGCTGGAGACAGCATAATGGACAAGACTTTTGTACTGTTAATACTTCCAGTGATTCATAAAATATTGATAGCAGTCCTGAATGTGTGGTGGCCAAGAGGGAGGCCACTTCACACACAAGGAATGCGCTAATGAAAGGACACAATAGGATTTTATACTCAGAGAAATTCCCCAGAGGGGCAAGAGCTCTGCTTTTCACATTTGCATTGAATGGCAAGAACAAAAACAGGTGAGAGAGTGGGAAGAAAGTCCCATCTCGAACAAAAGGAGAGGGAGAGAGGGCTGGGTTGGGCACACACACTCTGTCTAGGCTGGGAGATGGGGATGAGGGGCACGGGTGGGCTCCCAGAGCTCGGCAGTGGGATGGGAGGTCCCTCTTGGAGAGGCAGCATTCAGCTATTAGGCTGCTATGAGTTGAGTCATTCTTTAATTTACGTGACCGAGATAGGCCTCAAAAGCCCCAAACGACAACTAGGTAATAACCAGGCGTCAGGCACACCCTAAACTGCATTTTGATTTCCTCTTTTGTGACTCCGCATCAAGAACACAACCGCCTTCTTTGCTGGAATAAGGCACGCGCTCTTGCATTTAAGCCTGCCCAGTGTTTGCAGTGAATTCGGGTGAGAGCAACAAGGGCGAGATGCACAGCTCCTGGGAGCACCGGCTCCAAGCAGGCACCTCCTCGGGGCTTTTGACAGCCTGAGGGAGACCCGAGAATCACAGGAGCTGGCACTCCTGTCTCATCCAGCTCCTGGCTTGCTTAATTTGACGCAGATGAGTCGTCTTCCTGAAGTCATGGGGCTACTCACCTGAGTTTTCGAGCTAAGCAGTGCGGGCGGGAGGCAGGCAGCTTGGCTCCCACCAGCGCTTGCTAAACACCGGCTTCAGAGTCAGCGCGACTTGTGCAAACCCACTGACATGCCCCGAAGGACAGAAACTGAGAAATGTGGTGTGGGATTTTCAGGCAATGCCTTGAGTCTGAATCTAATTTGGTATCTTCATAGTGCATGTTTAATGATGAAAAATAAGGACCTGAGTGGTTCTCTTGTGCTCAAATGGAGCTATACATGCATTACAATTAGAAAATTAATATGTACTTGCTCGTGAATCCAGGCAATAGAAAAAGCCGGCTTGGATATATGAAACCAAGAATGACATGTGTGCACTCACGTGTTTTCCTAATGTAGTGCAACCTGTCAGGGACAAATTATACTCACTGAAGCCAAGACAAGTCAACATAGCCAAAGTTACAGTCCCACGTTTCCAGCCAGCAAATGATCTTTTCATGCCTTATTCTTGCCAAAATCGTGAATGTAATATTTTACCTGTCAGTGGAGGAGTTTAAGGCAAAGTCAAGTTTGTTTGGTTTTTTTTTTTTTTTTAAACAGTGTATCTGCACAAAGGTAGAATAAGATCAATGATTTAAATCAGACTTAAAAAAAAAAAAAAAAGGACTTACCTATTTGCAGTTAAAGAGTGATTTCTTTCCAAGCTGCTTCTCTGCGGTAGCAGGCAGTTCTGCATGTGTAGTGAAATTAGTGTTTATAAATGTTACTATAGTAACTGTATCCGTAGCCACAGGCTGGTAGATTTACTGTACTGGTTATCGAGTGAGCAGCAAGGTAAAAAGGCAGAAAACAACAACAACAAAAGAAGAGACATAGTATTGTAAGACAGCTGTGCTCTTGAGTATTCAGGGAGGAATTGCAGCAAAAGTATTTTTTGCCTTTATTCTAACCAGTACTTTACTGTATGCAGCAAAGCAGCCTATTTCCTATTAGAACCTCATCAACGCACCATGAAATGTAAATAAACATTTGGGCACTTAACCAAACTCTCTATCTGCTTCCTAACAACCTTCAGCTTTGATTTTACTGCAAGGGAGGTAAAAACTTATCAGGCTTTTAAGGATCCTGAAGAGTAAGGTGAAAGAATATGGTCATTTGCCCAAGCTGTGAGCCTGTGAACATTCACCTGTGCAGCTTCAGACATAAATGCATGTGGAGCAGCCTTAGTAAACATCAGTGGAGTTACTCAGCTGTGCAAAAACTGTAAACGTGTTTTCAGAATTGAAACTTGTAATTCATTACTATGCGGGTGTGCAAACTTGATGCTGAGTTACATATCATTAGCTTACCGTTTAAAGGGGAAGCTGGTGATTTAATTAAGAAAAAAAAAAAAAAGAAGAAAAAACATATTGGGGGATGTAAAGGCTACAGCGTCTCCCAAAAAAACTGAGTCTATGGTCAGGCATGGACATCAAGCGGTCCGTAGGAGCCAATATGTTGCCCAGATGTGCTTTTCGCTCGTAAACTTTTGCTACCGAGGAAGAGTAGTGGGAAAGGTGAAAGTGAAACTAAGCAGTAACAGTTTCATTTTGAAGCCCGGGAGGAAAGTAGAATAGAAACCTTAACCGGCATTAAAAAAAAAGAAAAAGAAAAGGCAAGCACAGAGTTCTTAGGTGGCTGTTACCACACAGCGGCTATTTTTTTTATTTAAAAAAATTATTCGGACGCCTAAAAAAATATAAAAAAAATTATTCTCTCTTAAATTTAAGAGGAACTGGGGTTTGGGGGGTTGTTGTTGTTTGGTTGGTGGTTTGTTTTTTTTTTTTTTTTTTTTTTCCAAGCTTGAATTTGCTGCAAAGCTTGAGGGCAGCGGCTCCTCCACCTTAAGAGTCCGT